CCTGACCCAGGTCTCACCTAACTCTTCATTCGTGCTGTCATTATCAGTGGCAAATGGGAATCTCCTCTGTTCTGCAATTGTCTTGGCTTGGCTCTGAAAAAAGAAAACCTGTATTAAAAACCTGTATTTCAAAGTTACATTTAGTTTAAACAGAAGGAACAAAATGTTTGCATTAAGTCCTATTAGTTACATACTTCAAGAAAATGGTTTCTGGGCTGGGGGCGTGGTTCACGTGGTAAGCATGCGGCTAGCAAGTGCAAAGCCCTGGGCTCAATCTCCAGCACTCCCTCCCCAATAAAAAGGTCAGGTTTCATGGTGACTGGTCTACTTCCTCATTGCCATCGGCACGTCCATGTCCAAGAGGAAGCACTTCCGTATTTCCCTAAGGACAAAGCCTGCCAGCTGCTACAAGGCCAGTTAACGACTTCAACTACGTCACAAACATCACGGTCTGGTAATCAGTCCTCCAGGGTGGCTTGAACATAGAACACTACTTTTTTTTTTTTTTTTTTTTTGGCAGAAATGGGATTTGAACTCAGTAAGCAGGTGCTCTACCACTTGAGTCACTCCACCAGCCCTTTTCTGTGTTGGGCATTTTTAAGACAGTGTCTCTCAAACTACTTGCCCAGGCTAACTCTGAACCAAATTCCTTCTCATCTCTGCCTCCTGAGTATCTAGGATTACAGGCGTGAGCCACTGATGTATGGCTTTTTTTTTTTTTTTTTTCAGTGCCCAACACTTTTCTTCATTCTATTTTAGTTTTGGCAGTACTAGTGCTGAACTCAGGGCCTTGCACTTGCTAGGCAGGTGCTCTGCCACTTGAGTTAGTTTTCAAATAGGGTCATTACACCCAGGCCTGCTTTCCTCATAGCTGGATGCCAGGCATGCACCACCACACCTAGCTTTTATTGTTTGAGATGGAGTCTCACAAACTTTTGCCAGGCTGTCCTCAAACCAAAATTCTCCCAATTTCCATCTCCTCAGTACTAGGATTACAGACAGGAGTCACTATGCCCAGCCTTCACTTTATTTTGAGATAGGGTCTCATTAAGTTGACCAGGCAGGTCTCTAACTTGTGATCCTTCTGCCTCAGCCTCCCAAATAGCTGAGATTACAGGCATGTGCCACCATGCAGAATACTGGGTTTTAAACCCTAACAATATTTCAGAAACAACAGCTACAAGTTGTACAGAGAAGATGACAAAAAGCACCAACAAAATCTGACCAGGACAGAAACACTCTAGTGAACAATGCACAGGAGTGATGAACATAGCCATCCTACTTTGTGCAAAAGGCAACCCCCAACAAAACCACACAGACACAGAGATACTTTGACCAGAGAGCTAAAACAAATGTGGAACAGGGACACAGTAAGTCAGCCAGCTTGGAGTTGGGAGTGGCTGGCATGCAGCATTGCCCACCACGCAGAATGGCGGCTCTCCCTGTTCTGGAGGCAAATCAGGTGTGGGAGCACAGCCTCCCTAGACGCTCTGGTTGTCAACAGTAAGTTGTGACACACTCAGCCAACAGGGGACATATCAAAGTCCTAACTCTATGCCAGATTTACCTCAGATGTGATATACTTATGCACACAAGAAGCCAGGACAGTGAGAGACCAAAGTTGTGTCGCTCTGGGTAAATTTAGAAGTTAGAACCTACTCCTTTCTTAAAGGAGGCCACAGTACAGAGGACCAGCGTATGACAGGTAAATAACTCTACATGTGTGCTCTTCTGATGCATGTACACACACTTCACCAATGACTGGCACCCCTTAGTCATGGTATCCACTGGGTTTCACTGATCCAAATAACAGAGTTACAAAGTATTTCCTTATAATCCTTACTCACCCAATGTCCACATCAGTGTTCAGAGGGAATGGTACTTAGTCTGCCCGTGAACAGGTTAGATGAAAACACAAGTCACAAATTAAAACACACAGCCAGAGGGCACCCATCTCAGGAAGCCCATGAGTCTCGCATCAGCCTCTAGGAGTCTGCACAAGATGAAACACCTGGGAACTCACCATGTTCCACAGTATGTCTTTTGGTCAAACCTTGACCATCAGGGAGACACTCCTATGGGTTTCCTCTGGTTATGCCACCATGGGGAGCTTTCACAGTGGGAACCCAGTGAGACATCCTCAAGCCTCCTCAAGGTGGGGCACTAGACAGGGCCATACAGATAAGCCTTTTCCATACAGGAGGCTTGAATCTTCATCCTCTTGCCTCAGCCTCCCAAGTGCTGGGATGATAGGCACACTCCACCACACCTGTTTTACTAGTGCTATCTTAAACTGGAAATGCAACTTGAAGGAAACATCTGAATGACTATCAGGAAGAAAGACCCTCAAAACTCTAAGAATCTAACTGCACCTAAAGTATTTCTACCTAAACACTTTCAGTGATTTTGGACAAAGAACTCAAAAGTCTGGTTTTGGACAAGTCTAACTCAAAAGTTTTCACACACCAGTTGACTGCTAGGTAGTGAGCTAGGAAAAGCATGGGTCTTTCTCACTCACAATTTCTAACTATCTTCAGTAGTTCGGACATGAAAAGGCACAGTTTTGTTTGGAAGAGTATCCTAAAGGGAAATTTTAAGCAAAATCCACAGGAATATCAAAGGAAAAGGCCTGGTGAACAATGTTACCTTGGACACTCAACAGCTCAGCTTCAGAGTTAAGTGTGAATAAAAGAAGACCCTTCTATCCTGAGGCATCAGACTGGAAGACAGGTGCCAAAATGGACAGGCAGACACACGGACAGGCATACCCCGAAGTGCAGAGGTCCCCTGAATAGGTGGTACTGATAAAAAGTAGAGATTGAAAAGATACCCAGATAGGCGAAGGCTGGAAAAATAATACCACACCTCCAAATGCATAAGACTCCTAAAAATAAGGTTCAGCCATGATCTCCCCTTTATTCCTTGGAGCTTAAAGTCCAGAATGGTCAACCATACAACTCGTAAGTTGTAACAATTCAACACAACATAACAATACTTATTCTGCATGTAGAACCACTGGAACCTGACTCCTAACTGGTAGACAGAGGTCACCTCCACCTCTTGGAACTAGCACTGCTGTGTATTGGCTTGTAGAAACAGACAGTGTGGAGAGAAGATACATACCAGAATCTTCTCAGTGTTGAGGGAAAGCAAGGAGTCACAAGGTGGCGATCCTTTGGGCTCACAGTCGGACTCATGGAAGTTCAAAAAGGAAGACTCTGAAAAGCAATCGGTGTGTGTTATTCTCCTCACCCTGATTTATGCCCTTAGGTGCTTAACTATAAATTGAATTTTAATATCCTACAAAATCAAGATAAGGACAAGTGTAAGCTTGAGTGGCTCAAGCAGTAAAAGCACCTGCCTAGCAAGCATGAGGCCCTGAGTTCAAACCTCAGTGCCACAAAAAAAAAAAAGAAAAAAAGAAATACCAAAAGAGGTATTGTCCTGACAGTTATGCGACATTTTATAGTTTGCCAGTATTCCACACACCCATTAGTGACTGTCCATATGCCCACTCTGGACACAAGCAAAGTTTCCCAATGGTGAGATGAGGGTCAGATAAGTTGGGACTTCCCCAAAGCAACAGGGCAGACAGCGCCAGTTCAATGCCTGTCTCACCACACAGGTGAAGTTCCTCCAGTTAGTTGCTCCTTATCTGGCAGCATTTACCAAAGCCAAGCCAGTGTAGAGAGCGGATTATGGAAAGTCTATGAGAACTGGATGTAAGCAAGGTGAGATGCGACTTAATTGCTTTCATCTGTAGGCCGAGATAGGCACAGCCCCTGCCACGAAACAGAAAAAAGCAGAAACAGCTGTGCCTAAGCTTACGTTCAAAGAAGCAGGAACTGAAACTTCTTCTATTTACAATGTCACGCCCCTCCCCGAGAGCCTCTGCTCCACCCTGTTTGCCTCTGTTTATAAAAGACCCCTAAAGGAGGGCTTAAGGATTTTTGCTTTTTGCATTTGGCTTTTGGTTTGGAGGGCTTTTTGGGCTTGGGTTTTTGGAGCTTTGGCTTGATTCTTTTGCTTTGGGCTTTTTGGTGTGGGAAGCTTTTGGATGGGAAAAGAACTACTGGACAGAAAAGAATTGCAGGGAAATTGCTGAAAAGAAAAGAATGGCTAAAGAGGGATTGATAGAAAGTCTGCACCAAATACTTTAACATAGGTCTTAGAAAAAGAAAGCTAAAGAAAGAACTTTAACACAGGCTTTAGAAGCTAAAGAAAAGCCAAAGAGAACATGGGACAAGGACCCAGACTTTGCAAGTCTGAGCATGGGAAGCTTTAAGAAAGCTAAAGAGAACCCTATAGAAATAGCTCAGTAGGGAGAACGTTAGATTGAAGAAAGCTAAAGAGAGAATGCTAAAGAAAAGTTGCAAGCCTGGGGGCAAAAGAACTTCAGAGCAATTAAGCTAAAGATAAGCTAAGAGCAAACATGGGACAGTGCGGAGTCTCAGTAAAGAGGTTTTAAGCAAGGTTTTAAAGAAGACTTTAGAAGCAAGGTTTTAAATAGCTGCAAGGAGTAAGGCCTTAAAGAATAAAGATAGAGAAAAGAAGCAATGAGGGTTGGGCGTCTCCACCTGAGCACTCAACACACCTGACCCCATTTTTTGTCTGTCTATCCTATGTCTTTTCTGAATCTCCAGTTGCCCCCAGTTAAGCCCAGGTATGTTCAGTAACATCCAGGAGCAAGAACGAAAGCTCACTCTAACAAAGGAGGGAGTGAAAAAATGTTATGAGACCTTCACCTCAATAAATTATTTCTTAAAAGGTATGTTCTAATTTAGCAGTAATTAAAGAGCATTAAATTGTGTCATGGAACCACTTGAGGGTCAGAATAGATTACAGAGTAGCATCAAAATCAACCTGTGCCTTCCAGGAACTTACAATTCATTTAAATTCTCCTGTACACTTCAACCCACAGGAGACAGGGCCAATTGCCCAAGAGGAACCATCACATTCCCCAAGGCTCCAGCAGGACTGGAGAGGTGGATTCAGATGGGTAGGTGGGGAGAAGGTGTTTTGGGGGATGCTATATCCACAGACACACAGGTATGACAATGCAAAGGACAGTGACAGCCAGCCCCGGCAGGGAGTCTGTGTCAGAACACAACTGTATGAGGCAGAAGGTGAGACAGGAAGCCTAACATGAGTCCCCAGACATGCACGCTGCCTTGTTCCTTCCACTCAGCAGTCCCTCTTCAGAATCCACCCCAGGTGCAGTAATTCCTCACCTTCCCAAGTTTACCGGGCAGCACCACAAATACTTACGATGTCGTAAGTTGTTTTGTTGAGGTTTCAAAACAAAAATTCCTTCAATGACTTTATTAAAATTACAAATCAATCTAATACTAAAATTGATCTATACTAAAATTATAGATCGAAGATGAGACTTGACGTCTTTATAAAATTCAACCTACTTATTCAAGTCTTGATCTTTATATAGGACTCACATGTTTGCTGTGATGTTTAAAGACTGGCTGAGAAGCACTGATTCAATGCGTTTTGCTGGGCATCTCCATGCTCCAGTCACCCTGCTGGCCTCAATGATCAGCAAAACCAGAAATGACCCATAAAGTCTGTAGCCATCAGAAGCACACATGAATTGCTAACAGCAGTGTGAGAGTTGCAAACCAGAGCAAATCAGAGCACATGGGACAAGTGGCCTAGCCAGGCAGAGGCTGTGAGGACATGAGTAACATCAGCCAGTGCTTACAGTCCCCCATACAGAGCCCCCATTGTAAAGATGAGAAAAACTGGGCAAAGGGACTGAGTCATCTACCCAAGGCCACACTCTATACCAAAGTGGGAGTGGGGGGGGGTGGGGGGGGGTGAACCCAGGCAGTCTGCAGTTTGTGTTTGTAACCACGACTAAATGGAGCTCTGAAGGAAGTTAGGATGTAGCAGGTGGAATCAGATGAAGGCCAGTGTCTGGGAGAGTGGACGAGGCAGAAACACCAGCACGCTGTGCATCTTTGTCTAACTGGCTCGAGCAGAGTGTTTCATCTCTCACCTCAGGGAACTCATAACAGCTCCGCTAGTGTTTCCATTTACTCAGCTGGCAAGTGTACCATCTTCATGTGATTTCATCAAGGTCTTTTTAACATTCATAGTCACCGAACACCTTATAATTGGACAAAATTCCCCAAAGCACTCTGTGAAAGTGGTGGTAACAGGCAGCCCTGCATATCTCTGACATTAATACTTCATTTAACCCAGAACTCTCTACACCTTGGACAGAAAAACCTTTTCAGCCAACAGTGATCAGTATCCATGGCCACCTGCATGTTGGCCATGGTGGAAGACAGATGGATTTTACCACATTAAAGTATTTGCCTATTCTTTGGTTCACCAGAAAACTGAAATCAGGAAAAACTGACTGGATTTTATTAGCTTTATTACATAAGATGTAAGATGATCCTGATCTATTAAGGTAATTAACTCAATATTTTAAAAGCTGAACCATCTTTTCTGCTTCTGGAACAAATTCTAACTAATCGGGCCAGATTGTTCTTTTACTTGGTTGCTGATGTCATTAATAATGTCTTTCTTAGGATTTATCTAGCTATGTATGTAACTTTCTCCCAACAGTACTAAATTTTGGAATCAGTGTTTTTCATGGGTTTGGTAAGGTCTGTGAGGAAAAAAAATTAAGTTTGTTAGAATTGTAACTATAACTGTCTAGAGTAGAAGGTTAAAATTTATTCTTTTTACAGCTCCACTAGCTGTATTTACTTGTTTTTGTTTGACTTGGAGATCTCACTATGTTGCCCAGGCTGTTCTTGAACTCATGGGCTCAAGCAATACTCCTGCCTCAGCCTCCCACGTACCTAGGACTACAGACCAGCTCCCAGTCCACTGTATTTAAATAATACAGATTTCCTTGGAGGAAGCATTCATTTTTCTCCTCCCTTCAGTTGGATCATGGTGGTTACTGCAAAAATTGTCTCAAAGCACATCACAGAATTCACTTTTCTTCTTGGCATCTTTCTGGGTGTTTACCATTTCACATCGTGAGCTGATGAGCAGAGGTTTCTACATTCATCCACTCACAGCCTCTGGGCTGTGAACATTCCTCCTTTCATGCACGTCTACACTTGTTCTCATCCTGTTCTTGTTTGTCTGTTGCAGTGATGGGGATGGAGCCCAGAGTCTCAAAAATGCTAGGCAAGCACTGAGCTACTTCCATAACCCTTGGTTTCTTTGTTGTTGTTTTGGATTTATGATATTGGGGTTTGAACTCAGTACCTCATGCTTGCTAGGCAGGTGCTCTACCACTTGAGCCACTCCACAGCCCTAACCCCTTGGTTTTTGAGACAGGGTCTTGCTGTAGCCAAGGCTGCCTCAACCTCCCAAGTGCTGGGATCACAGGCATGTACCACCACACCCAGCTTACTCTTGTTTGACCTAAGAATTAGTATTCTTGTGTGTGTGTGTGAGAGAGAGAGAGAAAGAGAAGAGAGAGAGAGACTATTGTAGTAAGGTAATAAGATAATGAAATTTACCAATGTAACCATTCTGAGTGTACTGTAGTTCAGTGCAGCTATGTATATTCACATTATATCTATGAGCTGCACCATAGCCCTAACTGGAGCATCTGAGATCCACCAGGCAGCCCCCATGTGGTGAACACACATAAGATTGTTGTATTGATGGATTGTATTGTGTTAAAGTATGAAAAATTGTTGAAATAAGAAGTATTAGCTAGTGTGTGTTAGGACTTAGAAACCAGCCAGTGTGACAGGCTGATATGCTAATAAGCCAACCCTAAGGTGGTGGCTGATATGCAAACAAGCTAACCCTAAGGTGACAGTGTGGATAACAGGGGTGGTGAGGTCACCACCGGGTATATAAACTCAGGCCAGAACCCAAAAGCTTGCTCGCCTCCTCACCCATTGGAAACCACGCTGTCAGAGACCATCCCAAGACCCTGACATGGAGGCAGTCACCGCTTGTGATCGTGCCCCTTCTCCCAATGACCACTGGGTGTCGCTGGTGAACCGTGAAACTGGACCTGCACTGAAGGCAGCTGTGAGGATCCCCTGGGGCTTAGATACACCCCCTCATCAGCTGAGAAGACGTCATACAGTGCCGAGACTTGGGGGAAGATCTGAGTAACTCCTGGCTGGCTAGGGTAGAAGAGACAGGCATTAGGATCCATAGAAAGTGCCGTGTGAATTTGTTTGAATAAAATCCTGTTCTCTGAAATAAGTCTCCTGAG